TTTTTTTTTTTTTTGTTTTTGCTTGGGGTGGCAGAAATGCTGGAGCCGGCCCTGTTTGGCGCAGCTGGCACATAAATATCTTGCAATGCCAGCTACAACAGTGCCATGAGAATGCCTTTTCTCACTTTCAGGTGACATTGTAAAGAAGAAGCGGGCAGCACGATCTCCTGCAAATGTAAACAAACTTGTTTGAGCGATTGGCTGAACTAGAAGTAGGACTAAGTGGACTTGCAGGCTCGAAAATTTTACATTGTTTTATTTTTAATGCAGTTTTTTTGTACATAATTCTACATTTGTAAGTTCAACTTCCATGATAAAGAGATTGCACTACAGTACTTGTATTAGGTGAATTGAAAAATACTATTTCTTTTGTTTTTTACAGTGCAAATACTTGTAATAAAAATAAATAAAAAGTGAGCACTTACACTCTGTATTCCGTTGTAATTGAAATCAGTATATTTTAAAATGTAGAACACATCCAAAAATATTTAAATAAATGGTATTCTATTATTAACAGTGTGATAAATTGTGCGATTAATCTTTATAATTGCACAATTAATCACAATTAATTTTTTTAATCGCTTGACAGCCCTAGGGTAATAAGCCATAAATGCAGTGTCTCCATTCAGTCCAAGATTTTTAGTCTCAAGTATAGTTATGAATTTAAGCTCCCAGACTCATGTTTTGAAAGTGTTGTGCACGTTTCCTTTGAGGGTGAGGACTGATAAGCCAGATATAGAGTGATTGCCTTGTGAAAAAGAGTTCACCCACAGCTGATGTGATGTTTATGTCTTTTATCATTTTCCTGTGTGAGTTCATTTGAGATCTTAGCAATTGTCTGGTTTCACCCACATAGTTGCTATTGGGCAACTTATCTCTCTCGAACAGAAGTTGGGCCAATACAAGATATTACCTATTCATCCACCTTCTCGCTCTCTATGTTCTTAATGGCACATTTGGGTCAAAAATTTCACAAGTGATCATTAACATGAAAAAAGTCTTACGTCCAATTCTCTACTGTTACTACTAGTACAGCTTCTTCTATGGTAGGAGTACTGATTTTAAACAGTGTGCTGTCTAGAGCTGCTCTGAGTAGATTTAGATGACATGAGGCTGGTCAACACCTATCCTTCTATGACATTTACCACCGTTGGAGCTGCTGCAACCATAGCAAGAATGGCAAGTTAAAAACAGCTAATGAAGTCCTGGACCCTTCTTGTCAGAGGCACCATTTAATTTAGTGGTTAATGTTCATTGCTCTGAAAATAAGGCTGTGTTTTGGGCTGGGAAGAGGAAACTAGGAACACCAGGAAATGTTGGGCTTTGTGTTCAGGTATAAACTTTTACGGTCTTGGCCTGTTTTCTTTGTAAGAAGATGTGTGATGTTACATAGTTACCCGAGATATCTATCTTGACGTAAAGGTTGAGCAGAAACAAGCCACTGGTAGATTCCACCATGATTGTAGCTCCTCAAAGGCAACACTATCCCCGCCCCCCCACCTGGGTTGACCGCCGCTACAAACAGTGGCAGATTAGCCCCTTGGCCAATGGGGTCCGTGCCCAGAGGCCCGAGCCAATGGGGGGGGGGGGGGGGGGGCCTGGAAAATCGAGTGCACCCACCCGCTCCACCTGGCACTCTTCCCAAGGAGCAGGGTTGGGGTACTGGGGCATGCCCACTCTGCCTGGTGCTCCTGTCCCCATGCCCTGACCCTGCTCCCCAGCAGGAGCACAGGGGGGATGGTGGGGAGGACTGCAGGTGGAAGGGGTGGGGAGGGGCCCCCACTTGCTCTGGCCCAGGGCCCCAGAAAACTGTAATCCACCTCAGGCTACAGAGAGGTAAAAATTAGTGTCTTGTCTCCACTAGAATTTTGTCCCTGGGTAGGTGCCTATCTCAGTGTGAAAACTACACACGTTCGCAGAGAAGACAAAGCCTTGGGCAAAAGTTGGGATTTCCAATGGCGTTAGTTTAACATAATAGCAAAATAATGGAGAGGCTGAAGCACGTGGTCAGTTAAGGCCATGGAGCAATGTGACGTTAACGTGACTGAACGAGCCCGGCTGGAAAACAAGCCCCTTTAGCTCCGTGGAGACGGGCCAGAGACAGACCCTCACCTCACGGGGGATCCCGCGCTGCTCACCCTGTTCGTCTCGGCCCCCCTGGCCCCAGACTAAGGCCGCTTCACTTTCTTGCTCGGCCTCTGGAGGGAGCCGAGCGGCGCCTCCTCCCGGTTACCCCCGCGGGCCGGGGAGCGGAGCCGCCGCTCTCCTGCCCCAGGGAGGGGCCCGAGTCCGGCCGGGGCCGCCCCGCAGGCGCTTCAACCCCCCGCGTCCGGCGCAGCAGCAGCGCCAGCCCCGCTCTCGGGAGCCATCTTGTGAGCGAGGCCGCGCTGCCTACACGGCGGAGCCGGCTGCAGCCGCGGCCGGGTGACGGCCTGTCCCCCTCCCCCTCTCCGCGGGGCGGGGTTGATGGGGCCCCCGGAGCCGGGGCGCCGCGGGGGGAGGCCGGGCTGGCGGTGACTCTCCGCCCGCCGGACAGAGCAGCAGCCGCTCCCAGCAGGCGGCCGGGCACGGGGGGGCGGGAGCCGAGCTCCGGCACGAAGGGGGCGGCCATGGCCGGCGAGCCGCAGAAGAAGCCGCACCTGTCGGCCCTGGTGGGACACACCAACGGGCTCACCAAGCCCGCCTCGCTGGCGGCGGCCGCGGGAGCCCGGGCCGGGGGCGCCGCCGCCACCTCCAAGAAGCTCGTGATCAAGAACTTCAGAGGTGGGCCGGGGCCGGGGGTGCGGGCCGGGGGCGGGCGAGTCCCCAGCGCCTGGTGGCGGCTCGAAGTGTCCCGTGTTTCCCCCGCCACAGCCACAGCCCCGCCGGCCCCGGCTCATCCGGCCGGCCGCAGCCACTGGACCCCGCGGCCCTTTCCTGACCTGAGTTTACTTTACTCCTGGCCCTGCTGCCTCCGCCCCTTCCCCGGAGAGGGAGGCCGCTGGGCCCGGCTGGGAGGGGCCCTGACTGCGGGCTGTTGCTACTGCGAACAGTGTCAGGCAGGGTAGGGTGGGGAGCGGCCGCCCGAGGACCCTGCCCTGTGGTTGGGGGGTCAGTGTAGCCTCTGGACCGCTCTCCAGGCCGAGCTCCAGGGGCCCACGGTACACCCTGCACCCCATGAGGGCAGCCCCTGCCCAGCCGCCAGCGCCGCTCCTCTGGTCATGTGTGGGGTCTGCTCCAGTTCCTTCCTCACCAAGAGATACGGGCCAGGCTGGGTTTGCTCTGGAAAGAGACCGTGAAAAGGCCTTAACTCGGCTAACTTGCTCTCAGTGCCTCCCTCAACAGCTACAAGGGCCCTTACTCAGCTAGTCTGTTCACTGTGTATAGCCAGTCACTTTTTTTGGCAAACAGGGGCCTGATCCTCCAGCCCCAAGGAGGTTAATTCAGCTTACTTACATATATGAAGTTCTGAGCACAGGGGCCCTAGTGTAACTCTCATCTGTGGGTCTCAAAGACAGGCCAATATTACTGGGGTGCTGGAACAGTTTTTCTACTGGAGGTGCTGATGATAGAAACCACGTATTTGGTGTTATTATTACTTCAAGCGAGGGATGCAGCAGCACCCCCAGCACCTTTAGTTCCAGCACCATTGAGTATTGGCACCACTGTTTTACAGATAGGGGAAATGAAGCATAAAGAAGTGTAGTGATTTCTCCATGATCACGCAGCACATCAGTGGTGTAGTTGGCAGCAGAACCCAACTCCCCTGTCTAACCAGTCCTGTGTCTGGCATCTGTACTGCTTTAGTATTCCCTTTCCTCATCTCAACTAAGTGATGCAGTTTCTATATAGACAACAGTTTGTGTTGCAGTCTTTTCTAATGTTTCAGTTAACAGCATGTTCTGTAATAAAATATATGTTATGTGTAAAAAGTTCTATTACACACAGTGTAGTTAAGATAATGTACAACAATGGTTTGGTGGTCAGTTACTCTTTAAAGAACATATAGAAAATAAATCTATTATAGATAGTGTTGAAACTAGAGTGTTGTCAAAGATGTTGCAGTAGACCACATTCGTTTGCTAGTGTTTGGAATGTTTATTTAAGCTTTATTAAATAAAAAACCTTAAATTGCAACACTTACTTCCTGAGTGCATTCTGAGATAGTACCCTTGCACATGTTTTACAAATTTTGTCCAGGATCATGCAAGCTGCTCTGTCTGGGCAGATATTTTAGTAGGGATCTTTGCATGTGAAGAGGGGCAGCCCATGTGAAGTTTCTTGCAGGAGCAGGGCCTTTGTATGCCACAATTCAGAGATAAAAATGGCACTTAGTGGCTTTTGCCATATTATATGGTGTTACAAATATTCCTTTATTTAAAAAAAAATTTCAAGCTTAAAGTGTGAAGTGAAATCCAATGTGTCTTTCACTTTATTAAATTATTCCAAAAGTATTTTAAAATATATAGCTATAAGTAATCTTGTATTGCGGGTTCAGTTTCTACTTACTTGTATCTGGTTTTACAGAAAGACCTAAATTGCCTGATAATTACACACAGGACACGTGGCAGAAGCTTGATGAAGCAGTGAGAGCTATACAAAGTAGCACCTCCATTAAATACAACCTTGAAGAGCTCTACCAGGTAAGAGTCAAGGTTTTGTGCGTTTTTGTTTGCTTTAAACTAGGAAAGTGGTAGAGCATAATACTGATTGCTTTGGGATTTTCATTGTTATAAACATTTAAATGTAAATGGGATTTTTGTGTTTGCAATGTATATCATCTGGCTACCGATTAGGTCAGTATTCTGTTCCTAATGTATGTTTGCCGTTTTCTGGATCAGTGGCTCCCCAAATGTTGTCCTTGGAACTTTCTGATGGTCCATGGAGAGCTAGCAGGATTGGGGCCTGTGATAAATGAAAAGGGGGGAGGAGTAGCTTCCTTTTATGGACAGCCAGCCAGTTAGCTATAAAATCCTTCTTAGTAGCTGTTCTCTACTTGCTTTACCTGTAAAGGGTTAAAAAGTCTCTCTGTGATACATAGGTGAAAGGAAGGGAGTGGGCACCTGACTAAAAGAGCCAATGGAAAGGCTAGAACTTTCTAAAATTGGGGAAAAAACTTCCCCTTGGTCTGTCTGTCTGTTGCTCTCTGGAGAGAGGGAATAGAGCAACTATGCTGTAAGAAGCTTTGGGCCAGGTATGAAAAATCACCTGAATCATACCTAGAAACTACTCACTTGAAACCCCCAGATATGTAAGTAGATCAGGAAATGTTTAGGAAGACACAAATAGGTTTATCTCTCTTTATTTCTTTATGGCTTGTGAACTCCTCTGTGCTAACCCCAAATGCTTTTGTTTTGCTTGTAACCGTTATGCTGGACCTCAAGAAGGTTATTCTTGATGCTTAATTCTTGTAAGTGTTTTTTTTAAATCTAGCAATAGCCTACGTTTCCAAATGTATTTTCTTTCTTTTTGTTTTTAATAAATTTATCTTTTTAAAAAACAGGATTGGATTTTGTGTCCTAAGAGGTTTGTGCACATGTTGTTTAATTAGCTGGTGACAACATGTGATTTCCTTTGTTTTCTTTCTCAGTCTTCCCCAGATTGGGGGGGAGGGGAAGGGCTTGAGGATACCCCACAGGAAGGAATTCCCGAGTGTGCCTTCCTGGGTTCTCAAAGGGGTTTTGCACTTGGGTGGTGGCAGCATCTACCCATCCAAGGTTAGAGAAAAGCTGTAACCTTGGAAGTTTAATACAAGCCTGGAGTGGCAAGTATTATTTTTAGAGTCCTTGCGGGCCCCCACCTTCTGCACTCAAAGTGCCAGAGTGGGGAATCAACCTTGACAGGGCCCATCTAACTAGCTAGTCATATTGAGGACTGTGGAAGGATGCATTTTGGCAGGGGTCAGAATGGGGGAAAGAGAGGCGAATAAGTGGTCATACTCTCCCAAACTCTGCTGGTTCTGAATGCTGAAATGAGATGTTACACTCACTAGATTTTGCAGATACTCGTAATATAATTGGTTCTCTACCTTGCATGCTTTGGTCTGCAGTGAAATAGTTGTTAATGTTACAATATTCATTATCACAATTAAGCTTCAGAGTCAACACCCCTGGTTCAGACCTGGGTGGGCAACAACACATTTATTATATTTACATGACAATTAGAGACTTTAAAACTCTTGTTTAAAATAATGAAAGAACATTGCATGAAGGGGTAAAGGACATATCCATGACTCGTTTCCTTCTTTCCTCCCTTTCTATTTTGTTTTTAAATATGGTCAGTTTTCAGTTGCTTTCCTCAATATTCTTTTTTATAGCTTGTGTGTTTTATGCCACATAAAATAAGAATATTTATAAATTTCAGTAACTGCAGCATTGCAAAATACACAAAATGTGTTTTCCCTAGTCCTGCAAGATGCACCACCTCTGTGTGCAACTGAAATGAGTGAGTTTCTACATGGGCATGCATGGAACTCATTGCTAGAGCCCTGTGGGGATACAAAACTTGTATCCGAATCCAATTTACAAACATGGTCTGCAGATATCTGCATCCACATCCGTGGATATAAAGCGGATATCTTCATTTTTGCAGGGCTCTACTTGTTGCAGTATTGGGGCCTAAGAAATTGTATATCACCAGAAGTGGTCTACGAGTTTCATTGGAGTTCTGTGATGGGTTTAGGGTCATTAGCAGAGAGCATGCTGGGAGTTAGCAGTCTGCATTGGGTGTGAATGTTAAAGACATAAAAATAATAATTATTGGTAAAGGCTTGATTGCCCTTTTCTCCCTGATCCTGTGGGGGCATTTAACGTATAGTTCTAAAAATACTTTTTTTTTTTTTTTTTAATTCAGTACTACCTTTAAAATAAAGGGATGTAGCTTGTTCTTTTAAATAGACAACTTGACTTGTATTATTTACATTCTGGGCATTGTAAGACAGCAATATTCCAATTGAATAACATTGATCCCTATTTAAGGGTTTTAAGCTCAAGGCTGAAAAATCATAACTATTTTTTGTGCATTCTTATTTGAAAAAAGTCCAGATGTTTGTAATTTTGTTTAACTAGCTTTCAAAGGTTGAGAGGAGATTATAGTAGCATGGGCATGAAATTATCAAGGCCTGAACAAGAATTTTGGTGGGTGGGAAGGAAGGGAAGGGATGGGATGGGTTTTTGGATACATCATAAAAGAAAAAGCAAGGAAATTGCCAGTTCACCT